TTGTGAAACCTGGCCCCACCTTATCATGCGAATTCCTGAGGTCAGATGGCCCAGGATGTGAGTGGGAGTTAAGGCGTCCGGGGAGGGAACTCAAAACTGGATTATAGATGGCAGACAGTTGGTGTCGTAAACCACCGCCTCTGTTCAAAGGTGGTCGCTCACAGTGGACGTAAATGGCTTCTTTCACTCCTCTTTCAAACCATCTGTCCTCTCTATCCAAAATGTGAACATTGGCATCCTTGAAAGAGTGACCTTTGTCCTTTAGATGCAGATGGACAGCTGAGTCTTTCCTGTGGAGGTGGCTCTTCTATGTTGTGCCATGCGCTTGTGAAGTGGCTCTTTGGTCTCTCCAATGTTGGGACCCACACCCAGTTTTAGAGGGTGTGGGTCCTTTAAAACTGGGTGTGGAAGGCCTCTTTTTAGAGTTTTAGAGGCGATTAGAGGATCATCAGGGAGTGCTTTTGTCCCTCTGAGGGGGGGTTACTCCCACTAGGTTTAAATCTGGGACTCCCCACCATTTGACCTTAGAATTGAAGAAGCTTCTCGGATGAGAGGTGAAACGTCTTCAAGCAACTTAAAGAAGTCCAGACGCTTTTCTTTGCAATCTCCTTTGACTACAATGACCTGGATGACTGAGAACCTTCACAGACATTCTGCACACAGCTTTCCTATCACACCATCACTCACATTCATTCTGGATTATGTGTGAACCTCTTCATTGTAGTATTAGAGTGGACTTTTTGGAAACTAAGCTGCTGGAGTTTTAGATTAGCTGACACATTGTTTTTGACAAAGACTGTGATCTAAGCTTATCTGGTAATGGTACAACAATGATGATGCAGGTGACTGCACTGAGGCCCGTTAATAATTTCACAAACATTAAACTATTTAGTAAATGTTCTTGCTGTTGTTATTATTCTTCACACACACTTTGATGTGATTTGAGTATGGTCAGCCCTAAAACAAGAGTGATTTTATTTATATCAGTTCTGGGGACTGTTCTGGTGGGCGGCCGCGTGGCCAGCGGCTGAGGTGAAACAGGTTTGGAGGCTGACCATGCGGAAGGCAGTGGCGGTGACTGAGCAGGTCTGGAGGCCGACCACTCCGGCGAGGAAGTCCAGTCAGCAGCCTGGACAGTGGCCACCGATGACAAATTAGACGTGGACGAGGCGGTGGCGTGGGAATTGCCGAATCAGATGAGGTAGGGCTAGACAAGATAGGATCAGACGAAGCAGGGCCAGATAGTGGCAGAGCAGCTGGAGGCAATGGCGTGGGAGCCACCTGTGGCAGAGAAGCTGCAGGAGATGGCGTGGGAGCCGACGGTGGTGGAGCAGCTGCAGGCGATGGCGTGGGAGCCGACGGTGGCGGAGCAGCTGCAGGCGATGGCGTGGGAGCCGGCTGGTGTAGGGCCAAGCTCATTTGAAATAAATAACTAGTACACTGAATACTTCAGTTTGATAGGGATTTCAATTTGGGAAGAAAACTAAAAAGTAACATTTTGTACATGTTCACAAACTTCATTAAAAGTAATGCTAATTACCTGATTGTCACATTCACAATTTAGTTGAAGCTTACCTTTCTCGAGAAGATACAGGAGTTTGATCAATGAACTGGTTAGTTCTCTGAGATACACAGATGGTCTCTGGTTTCCAATATTTCCTGGGAATCAAAAGAGGACGGTCACGCCACCTGACAATCTGATTGTTCCTGACAGACACCATGAGAAAAAAGGAGATTTAGTAATTGTTCACAAAAGATTTTGCTTGGCAGTCTTGGAACAACATCCACTGGTCCAAGACGGATGTGCAGCATTTGCGTAAGATGCCAAAGAAGTATGCAGCGGGATATTTTGGATGGGGTAGAGATAAACACCCTGTTGTCGGAGCACAAATGTGATTAACCGGTTTTCTTTAAGGGAGGGGATTATTTTCTCCACATGGGGCCATGTAGGTTTGAAAATCATCAAACTAATATTCGATTTATTTTGTGAACTTAAACATTTAAATGTGACAAATACAGAAGAATATAAGAAATCAGGAGGAGGCAAAGACTTCGTCAAAGCACAATTAGAATTTGTTTTTTGTTTTATTTTTACTTTTACTCTTCCAACTTCCTCCAACATACAGTCAAACATGATTGATGGAAGAAAACATGAGTACGAGCATCTCTTCTTGTTTGCTGAAGTGGATTTTCAGTTGTTTAGAAACCAAAAGCTGTGTTTGCACTGTAGTTTATATCCAGCAGCATCAAGCAGTTAAGTCAAAGAGTTCATGTTACTAACTGCTCACCTCTCTGCAGCAGACACTGGGTGGACTTTAAAAAGAATGAAGGACCTTCTAGACTGGCAACTCTTGAAGGATTCACAGCTGGAATCTGAATCTGGATCAGGTTCAGGTCCAGGTCCAGGTTGGTTCCTGTGAATAATGATGGAGCAGTGATGTGAGTGCTGAGCTGTGACATGGAGAAGAGTCATGGACAATTAGAGATCATTAGGTCATCTCACCTCTGAGCTTTGGTCTGGCTCTCATGTTCCCCACACAGAGTGGTTTTAGAGGGAGGGACTTCCTCGTGTTTGCTTTCATGGCCACCCATGCTGCTGAATTCACATCAGCTCACACACACCTTCTACCTTCACCTGCATAGGAAACACAAATTATTCATGTGCACATCCACTGAAATCCTCATTTCCATCATGTGTGCTGTCCAAATATCAGCTGCTTCTTTCCTGCTTCATCTCAGTGTCAGCTGAATGCAGTCAGACAGCAGAGTGAGGCAGAGGGAGCTGCTCTACTTCTACTGTCAGTCCACAAGAGAGAACTATTGTTTTAATTCAGTTAATGCTAGACTGCTGTTTTTATGACTGTGTAGCTTTAATCTAGGAGTTACAGCTCTCTGTTCTCACATTTTCATTGGCCAGAGGGACAATTAGAAATTAGTAGATTAGAGAGCTGCTAGGGTCAAACGCTTTGGAGACTGCTTTAGAGGCTGAGATTGTTTACACTGTAAAAAAAATCTGTAAAAATACAGTACAATCTACTGTATAAATGTGAAGGAATTTTCCGTATTCGTTTTTTAAAGGTATTTTTCTGTACTTCTCAACTACTGCAATGCATTGTGGGAAAAAAGAACCTCAAATAGAGGGAAAATTAAGAGCAAGAGCAGCCATTACACTTCTTTCTTCCATTTGTGCAACATTTCTAAAATTAGAAATATCCTGTCTCAGAACGACGCTGAAAAACTAGTTCATGCATTTATTATTTCCAGGCTGGACTACTGTAATTCATTATTATCAGGAAGTGATAGACCCCAGCCTCTATGGATCTTGTACTCAGAGCTTGTTCTTGTGCTGCCATGATTAGTGCCTCTGTGCTGTCTTTCAGTCCAGCTTTGTCCAGCCACTGGTAGGATTTATAGATATCAGCCACCTCCTCTATCTGCCGGTGGTACATACCGTGCAGGGGTCTGTCTTTCCATGATGGTTCCTCGTCTTCCTCCTCTTTCTCAGGTTTCTGCTGCCTGGGGTATTCACTGAGCACTGGGTCAGTTGGGGCATTCTTTGTGATGTATTCTTGGATGTTCGTTGTCTCATCCTGGACTGTGGTGCTGACACTCACCAGTCCCCGGCC